CTGACGTTTTATGTGGAAATTCTACAAACTAGCACTTTGTTGCAAGATGGATTTCATTTTATTAGAAGTCACACGCTGACTTCAATACCACAGTCAGCAGGATTTTAAATTGAGTAACGCCGCCATTAAAAATGCTTAGGAGTATAAAAAATACATTTTTGTCCAGCCATGCAAAAAATCTTACACGCGCTTTTGAAAGAAGAGTCTTGCAAAAGTGAATTTTACTGGAAGTAATTAAACAATGGCTTTTGCAATGTTTTGCCCCCAAAGCTTTTCGATGTTCCCCCTAAGGCAATAATAATTGCATGCATGAAAATACGGCAAGTCTGATCTACATAATTTATTCTTCCATTTACAGACATACCAAAGTGGAGACATTAAAATCAATAAGGTTTTATGAACGCATAGCATATGCTTGGGAGCCACTATAATCATGGTGTAAGACAGATTACTTCAAATAAACCTTACCGAATCGTTTTCTTTTGTGGTTCTACTGATATCGCAGAAGAGTGCGGCCAAGCTATTAGCATGCTTTTCACACCATTGAATCAAAATGAGACATTCAAGTTGCCATGTAAATGCCCGTTCTCTGAAGTTCTTTACAGATACACATTCCAACAACAGTTTTCTCAGGGCAGAAGGCCAAAAGCAACTTTATTTTTACTGTTTCTCCATGAACACAAAAAAAATAGTTGGACTAAACTTTAAGAAGGGAAATCAATCCTGATATGTCAAGTGCTTTGATATTCCAAAAATTCCCCCCAACCCCACAAATGCATCTTTGAAGGTCATTAGAAGTTTCACAGGGTTTTTTGTTTCTTATTTTTAAACTATAGCAACCGTGACTCATAACCAGAAAGACTGCTTCAGAGCATTAAGCCGTAGGTGTATCTAGAACTACACTCATTTAACAGGAAAGGCATTAGGGAACCCAGGAAATGCTGACACTCCACTAAAATTAATGGAAGGCACGTTTCGGAGCAGGATAAGGGATCAAAACCATCGCTAAATAAGAGACACTTGATTCTCCGCACTCCGGCCAGAGCTACCTGCTATTTAACACGGACATCGTACTTGCACGTACATTTGAAGGAAAGGTAGCCAAGAATGCCTGTTAAAGTTCCCGACCTATGTCTACCATAATCACTGACAATGGATTTAGCTTCTGGGGCAACCTTAACTACGTCAGTCGTGAACCCTAGGCTTGAAGCTGCAGACACAATCCAAACCGACTCCAAAGTTCTAGTCGGTCTCCAAACAGTCATGCTCCAGCCCCACTTGCTTCTGGCCGTTTTCTGAAGCGTCTGAAGTTTATACACGGAAGGAAGACACCAAGGATCAATCCGACAAACCTCCGCTCCCGACTCTGAGCCCTGTTCCCAACTAATTGTTAGTAGAGAGCAGCTCACTTTTGACGAGTTCTGCAGTAAATTAGCATGCATTCTATTTCAGGTGGGTTAGAAATGCAAGATATTTGTAAGAAAGAGCAGCTCATGCCTTGGGGTGGCTGAAGATGACCTCTATGCTAAGCCTAAATATAAATGAGCATACTCTGGAAATTGATGTACCGGAGATAAAAACTGGAAGTCCTGGGAAATAATGAAGATGCCTCTGGTTAAATCTACATTAGCAAGTAGCGCAGTACAGCAAGAGCAGTTTTGAAGGCCCAAACAGTGCAAACAGCATGAACATCAGGTCCTAAGTATTATGGGGATTTTACTTTGCATTAACTCTAATCTGGTACCTAAATTAAGTATTAGATTCTTCAACATTGCATGCACCTAGCCCCACAATATAAATCTTAAATCAAACACTCATGTTCAGTTCACAAAAGTCCCTCAAAGTGAAGCTTCACCCATTTCATTACATCCTCTCTTTTTTTTTTTTTTAAAAAGCACCATGTACTACACTGTCTCATTCCTTTCCCCCCCTGTATCACAGTTCGAGCATTAATCTCTAATTATTCAAGATACGTGGAGATGTTAAATAAACCTCTCTGGTTTGATTTAGTACCTTAAGTGATTGCGTATTTAGGAAGTGCAGCAGAATGAAGCACAGATACAGGATAACCTCTAATAAAATACTGTTAATAACTTACCTTTTTAACTACATTGAATATGTTAATTGCAACTTAAAGATCATTATATTACCCACACAGAAATTCCTCATGTCTAGTCTGTCCATTACATTCCATCATTTTAAGGTCACCCCAGATCAACATGTGGGGTTCAATCTAGAAATCAAACTCCTAAGCCAGCTGCCGTACATAGTACAGTGTTATTAACACGTATAAAATAAAAGAGCACCAAAAAAAGCGTTTGGCAGTGCAGCTTTAAAAGCACACGTACAAATAGCTCCCAGTGGTTTCTTCTTTGCTAACAATTTGGAACCCAAGCTTTAAAGGTCATGCTTACACCTGCAACATGTTTTAACCACCAATTTAAGCGTTATTGTTGAGAAGACTATATGAATAGGACATGCAACTATAAGGACTCTCCTTTTGTCATATTATCACCATCATCTCTCTCATTCCTCAGTTGCAACACAGTACCTTTACAGTGTTCCTAGCACACAGGAGAGTACTAGTCACAACTTCACCTGGCCAAGCAGGCAAACGCTGTCCACCCAGACTGGCAAAAT